TCAACTCCCAGAATTCCCCAGCCTGCATGGCTGGCTGGGGAATTCTGGGAGTTGAAGTCCAGACATCTTAAAGTTACTAAGGTTGAGAAACACTGCTCTACAGGCTTAGATTTAACAATGTTCCTGCTGATGGATGAAGAGATGTTCCTGGATCTCTGGCGTTCTCCAGCTTAGAAAGGACCAGGTTCATGTCCACCCCCAACCGTGGAAAATGAATGGGTGATTTTGAGCCAGTCATTCTCTTTCAGTCCAGCCTACCTCACAGAGTTATTCTCGTGAGGATAAAATAAAGGAAGATCCCCATATAGGCCACTTGAGCTCCTGGAGGTAACATGGATGTCATAAATAAGATTAAAAACAAATTACAATAGCCAAAAGGGAGCACTGGTTAATTATGCTTTGAGTTAAAACATAAATCATGCAACTCGGAGTGTCGCTAACACCACCTCCTCCAGAAGCAGGCAGACAATTTATCTGCTTTTTCAAAAGACTGGAGCCAAACCAGCTGAATTGTGAAGAGGTATGAAATGGAAGCTGTCCCAGAACTTGAGACAATTGATTTAAAATAAAAATTATGTATGGCACAGATGTAATGAAGAAGATTCACTGTTGTGAAAAATCATTTGAGGGTTAGAAAATCTGTATTAGTCTCAATAGAACAATTTAAGTCCTTGTTATTATGATTATCCTATGTCAAGAGGTTTTTCTAGCAAATAAGTTGATTTACAGTCATTGGGGTTATTACTCAACTCTGCAGCTCTTGCTGTGGTCTCAGGGAGTTACATGATCTAACTTAGATTGGTAAATTTAAGAACCAATGGCCGCTTAACCTAAAATGTTTTTATAGGCCATAAAATTATATTATGAATTTAACGAGAATGAAAACTACAATGAGAATTCAGAAGATGGAGAAATATAAACCCATGACTGAGAAAGGGGGGAAAGTAAGAGCCAGCCATCCAATCCTATGAGCAAAAAATTCTCTCTGCTACAGAAAAAAAACACAAAACCAGCATAGCGGACAACGATCTTGAAAGTTTCCCTCATCTAACTGTTTTTCTTCTGCGGACTTATTTTTTCCTTTAAAAATTGAAAAGCCAACCTGACTTTGGAACATCCAAAGCCTGAAGCTCATATCCAGATCATCAAGCAATCTTGGGCTCAAATCAATTTTTGTCCAAGATCACTCAGCCATTTCTGGAAAATCGGAAATAAATCATAACACTGCCTATACTCCCTGTGGTCAGAATGAATATGCCAGTATTCATTAAAAAAAAAAAAAAACTCTAGCTCCATCAACTTGTGGTTACAAATTCTAAGTTTGACTGCTGTGCACACAGGTCCAAGCGAGACACCCACCACATCTTTCCAACTGTCTGGGCGAAGCCAACCATCATTTATTTGAGTATCATCTCTATAATATGAGCCTAGCAACGTAGAAACACTGGGATACTCAGAACTCCATTAAGAACATAAATCCTAAATGAGCTATTCCTTTGTGGCAAATGTTCAAAATGCTTTGCTACATAAGGTTTCACTCCAAGGAGCAGAAATTTATGGTGGGGAAGATGCAGCCACTGAACATTCTGATCCATGGATGCCGCCCGTTGGCACGGGAGTAGCAACACAATCGTGCCACGGGAAGAAGGCTGTAAGTTGAAACCCCCCCCAAAAATTACTAGCCAACGCAGGACGCAGAATAAGTCGTGGGAAATTCAGAAGCTCACCAGCAACAAGAAAGCCACAATTTGGCAAGAAAGGAGAATTTCCATTCAATCAAAAGGACCCGCTTCATGGTTTTCATGAAATCTGTTTGCAGTGGGGTGGCTTTTTCTGGGAAGTGTGAAAATATGCCATGAATATAGGACGCAGAGAAAGAGACGGATTCTGAAAAATCTCTCGTTTTCCTCTTCCATCTCCTCCTTTCACTCTCA